GAAGCTAATTAGGCATACACGGAGCCTTAATGTTAATGAATCCATTCATGTGTATGAAGCTCTGCGCGTGTTTCAGAATCATGCTGAAGAAGCTCACTGAGGACGATAGCCAGGAGTTCTCTCTCATTCATCTTTTTGCTCAGCTCTGGCACAGGCAGGAATCTCAAACTGACAGCAAAACGCTGGAAGTAGTAACTTCAATGTAACCCAGCCATCCTGATGACCGCTCCTGTTCTCACGCAGCGCACCAAGGATGAGCAAGGCTAAAACTAACAGCTAATGAAGATGAAGCTCTGTTTTTTTCGCACAATCACCTACTCACACCCAGTCCTGCAATTAAGTGGAGCCAGCAAGAGTGACATGAGCTCTGGGCATGGTCCACACATCTCCAGCTATGAGCAGAAGACAAGACCTTGCAGCACTAAAGAGAGAGGTCATGGGTGTTTTGCTTTTCTGTAGGCTTCATCCTCTGGAAGAAACACAGGAACTACATACCATGCCAGACCAGCTTGTGGACCTCACTCTCTCCCAGCTTGGTGCCCTGCTTACAGCAAGTTGCTGGTCATTCAAAAGGCAGGCAGGAAACACATGGTGCACCCCACCATCTGCTCTATATGAGTGGGAGTGGAAGAAGACAGCTCTCTGATTACAGCTGCCCTAGGTTAGTGCACCAAAGCATTTTATTTTATTATCCCTCTTAGTATGTAGAGGACTATTGTCCAGAAAATTACGCTGTCCCTTTTCAAAGAAATTTGCAATTTCCTGGTTTTTTTCATCCCCACTTAGGAAGACTGCACTAAGTGCCATTCATGAACAAGGAGCAAGGAACTGCTCCTCCCACATCTATCCTCAGGAAAGCTTTCACATTGCTTCAGGTCCCCTCTCCAAACCAGACAGTAAGCCCAGCAAACACCTCCTACAAGAGGTGCTCCAGAGCACGACCACAGGGCAAGCATAGCTAGAAGGTTTTAAAACAAGGTATTCCTTCTGAGACCGTTTCCATATCATTAACAACATAGGAAATCCTGAAAGATTAAGTTCTGTGTTCTGCTAAATGCAAACACACGCGAGGCGCGCAGCCGTAGCTGTTAACATCGTGGTAATGATGCAGTGTCGGCAGACGTGGAGCACGGCAGCTCCTGCACGAGTAATTCTGGTACCCTGAAGACAAGGAGCCCACATACGTATAATTGCTGGTAAATCGAGTCCTTGTTGATAAAGTAGAAGCATGTCATTGTGCCCAGCCGGTTTATAATGTTGTCTTTCATGAGGCAAATATTCAGCAGAACGACAGTCTATGTAAAGCAATATTCATAGTACAGAGCTTCTGAGAAGACTAATCCTACCACCCAGTGCAGGCTGGAACCCATGGAGGTTCCTTCATAATAAAGTAGTTTAAAATCCATGCAAAACCAGGACGAAACCCAGAAGAACTGTGATTTCTTAGGCTACTGAGTACTTACAGACCTATCTCCAAGTATCCAGAAAACTTAAAAATGTATCGACATTAGCCTGAAGCCATCAGTACTGACCGGCTCATTGACTCAGATAAAAACTGCCATGAAGATGACAAGAATCAGGCCCCAGCCCCGGCATACGCATGTTGGTTGTCTTTCTCAAGTATCCCAGGTATGTGTTAGTACCATGATTTGCAATACATAACTGTGCTGGCATTACATTTCTGTTTATTAATCAGTGCAATGGTGATAATCACTCAGCCTCAAATCAGCAATTAGCTCAAGTATCAGACCCTAGATAACCAATGTAGAACTGATAAACTTCTAACGTTTATTATTAGATGCTTGATACCAATTTATTTTTCACATAAATTGGTATCAAGCATCTACTTGGGTAACTCTGCCTAGGCACAAAGTTTACAAGAGCTCTCTCTCGTGTTGTGCTCTGTTTCCATATCCCACCTCCCTCTTTAAACCGCTCTGTAGAACAACTTGACTCCTGACTGTCAACTGGACTTAGAAGAGATTCAAACTTGCACTATCAAATCTGTGCTGTCGCGAGCACAATACAGGCAGGCATCCTTCACAGTCAAAAGCTTTTGGGTTTTTCCAAATACCTTTGTAGTATTTTTTTTCACCACTACTTTTCGCATCTGTTGTTTTTGGGTCCAGCAGTCTCCAACTCGCTGAATTTCCACATATATTCTGATGAGATGTGTCTTTAACCTCAAGTGGACTGTCAAGCCAGATGCCAGATGCCCCTTACTTCCTCAGTGCAAATTATCAGTAAACCTTAGCATAACTTTACTTTGAGCCTTAAACTAACAGCATGTGAAAAGATTAATATGAATAAATTCAAAACTAATCAGATCCCTTCTTTAAATGTTGACACAGTATTATTTATATCCCATAAATACCTTCTTGACTAAAATTCATCCCAGGCATCTTGCCAGTTCTATTCATATTTACTGTATTTATACAGTACAGTTGGCCAAGGATAATATTTAAGACAAAATATGCCTTAGGGTATATACAATATCTCTTATAGTTTTCCTTTTAAATCTCCTCATTGCTAAAAATATTTAGTCTGAACTTTACAAAATGCTCCACAAAGACCTATCAGCGATCTGTAGTGATATATTGCTGACTATGAGTATAATTAGAGCATATTTGTAATACTTGGGTTGTAGTCAGTTACTGAATGCTAACAACTTGTGGTAAAAACTGAACCACTGATCTTTCCCATGCCTTCCTTCCAGCAGCTTTTGACCTCCAGTGCGTTCACACCGATCTCCTTCTCCCTACTGCTTCACTCTGATGCAGCAGAAACTGTAGAGTTAAAAAAATTCACTCCGAGATGTCTAGGAGAAAGCAGCCGCAGCTGCCAGAGCTGCGCTTTCAATTTCTTCCTTTAAAATATGGTGGAGCAGTTTCTTCCCTTCTGTCTTTTTTGGAAAGGTACGCTCCATCCAGCATAACTAGAGAGCAGTGGAAAAACAGTTAACCTACTTACTCTGATGTTAGCGACAGCCCTTGCACAGTAGTACTGGACGCGCTGCTAACTGGCCCTCCGATCCCAAACGTCTGATGCACTCTGTTGGTAGATACCTGCAATCTCCTTTGCTCTTCCAAAACCTCTAGTGATACTTCAGTACAAATCTGGCCTCTGACAACATTTTAAAAATAGATCCTCTTTTGTCAACACCATCCAAGTCACACACCGCAGATATTTTAATTTTCTGGAGAGTACGTGGCTACATTTTGGACTATCGGTTCTTTGTAGTTTGCTCATGCAAGGAAAAAGGACAGATGTGCTCAGGATGGATGCATTTTACAGTTCTCAGACTCTCTGTTACAGGGTCAACTCCACAAGCTGAGGCACTGCTATCGGTCTTCCTAACCTTTGCCCATAGGTGCGCACTCCTCTGCTCAGGGCACGATCCGATAGGTCTCAAAACAAAGTGCTGACTTCCACCAAAACCACCAGCAAAATACTGCAGTATATCAACATGGAAAACAGGCATGATTTCTGTGTTCTCACTATGGCTATGAATTATACTGAACTTCTCTGCTCATACCCACTTGGCTCCAAAATGCCCTTTTTTTTTTTTTTTTTTTTTTTTAAGAAAAGCATTTCTTCCCTGAGGGTAACAAGGGGTGGAGTGTATTTATCATGGCTATTATGGATGGTGCCATAATTACAATAATAAAATAGCTCTGACTGCCAGGATGTCCTGTACCTGATGCTGTCATTTAAGAATAAAGGAAGAAAGGGAGGCAGCTGCACCAAGCGTGGGGTTCAGACACCTTGGCTGGCATCCTGGGACTATCACATGCAAGACAGAGCAAGCCCCAAAGCTACAACTTGCTAAACTAAAAATAAACAAGGGGGAAATGCAATTAGAAACTCTCAGATAAAGTTACCAAGATGGCTGCATTATCTATTTAAGCAAGAGGTATGTGCTTTTCAAAAACAGACAGCAAAGTATATAGGGCATCAAGTGGCGGGGGAGGGAAGAGAGAAAAGAGAGCTAAATGAAAAGAGTAGGGACTAGGTTTTGGACACGCGAATGGTGAAGTTATTTTCTGCTTCTGGTATTTCACTTTCCTCGGTATGATGATGATCTAGATTCTTTTAAGGGAGTGTGGTGCTTTTTCTTTTTTTTTTTCTATACACTTAAACTTCACTAGCAAAACAAAAAGGCACGTCGTTATGATTATTAATCATTATAAGTGGATTTGGTCAGCACAGAGGTTCTTTGTTTGGTTTGGTTTTTTGGGGTTTTTTTTTTTTGGTGGAAAACGTGGCATGGATCACCAGAAGGTTGTTATAAACACCAAAAGGCAGACGGGCTGAGACAGGTTCCAAGAACCGAGGCTACCCAGAAGGGAAAACTTTTGCTGTACCTGAAATGAAAGCGCCCATGAACTGAAATGGGAGGCTAGTTAAAGTGGGAAGAGGAGGGAGGATGCCTATGCCTCTGTCCTCTCTGAGCACCAATCTGAATAGCGGTCGGTCTGCGGGACCATGTTCTGGAGGGGCGCAGACAGAAGAGGAGCCGGTGGCTTTTTTTTTCTCTTTAAAGACCTCCTTTTCTTTTCAGTTATGGAGAGATGAAAACCTGCCCGATCCAGACACTCCAAGGGAAACAACAGCAGTGGAAAGATATTGGCTCTTTTTGGAGGCTGCAAACAGGGCTGCGGGGTGTTAACCCCAGTGCTGGGGAGGGAGCGGGATCCTGGGCGGGGGGAAAGCTTTGTCAGGTACATGGTGGTGGAAAGCCGAGGCACCTTTAAGGACTCCTGGGAGACTCCAAAGGGAATCCAAAACCTCTCGGGTCTGGGGGGACAGCCACCCACCCCAGGCACATGTATACCCCGCCACCTAAATGAAACCTTAGAAGCCACCACCTAAGAGATGCTGAGAGCAAACCGGGCACAGAAGACAGATTATGATGCACGGGGCTGGTATTTGAAGGTGCCAGGCAATGCCAAGCCTCAGGGGCAAAATTACACACACACGCACAAACACAGAGGACTTACTTTCGGGGTAAAAAGGCTGCATGTCTATTTTGTAAACTTCTTTGGCATAATACTCCTCGTCGCTCCTCTCCCTTTCGCAAGTGGCAGCTCTGTGGTTGGCTTTCTCTTGCAGCAGGTCCCTGGTGCTGTTGTAGATGGAAATGACCTCCGGGGGCACCTCCTCGGGCTCGGGGTACTCGTCCGGGGGGCTGGTGAGCTTCAGTTTGCTCAAGATCTGCCCCCGGATCGCCTCGATCCTCTTGCGCATAAACTGATCCATGTCGAGGGTGCTGCAGGTAGACAGGCTGAAAGCCACGGTGGCCAGATCCACGGTGAGAAACACGCTCAGGAGATAGCAGTGCATTTTAAGTGTTTAAATACAGCGCCCCCCCCCCCAAAAAAAAAAAAAAAAAAAAAAAGGAAAATATAAAAAAAAAAAAAAAAAAA